ATTCTGAAGGCCTGACTTATCATCTGAGAGGCTTCAGACGACCAAACGAGAGTGGATACATGTGACGTCTTATGTGTAGACAGGAACAACGCTATCTGTTTTCATTCTGCAAGACTTTCCCAGCATTTGTTCATCTGTTCTTCTCTAAGTAAGTCAACAAGAAACAGTCTACTCTTACAGAAACCGCTCAAAATCAACAACACCAGAATTAGTCGATGGTGCTAGGAAAACACTAATATTTTTTCCTGAACAGTGATTTCTTTGGCAGTTTTCTTGCTGTTAGGGAATGCATAAGTATACGATCACTTCTAACCCTGTAACCTGAGGCAAATACAAATATAGAGTTAAAACATTCGATACTGTCTTATATAGATGCATTTGATCTAAACGCACGTCCAAAATAAAACTAGTATCAACCGGAATCCCAAATAAACCTGTCGTCTATAATACAGTTTGCCCAAACGTGTTTCAAATATTTACTTTACAGTTAGAGCCTTACTCAAGACTTTTCCTTCTTGGAAGATTTATTTGGAAGTTTGATGAAAAACTTAGAACAGCCCACGGTTTTTTTTGCTTTTGTTGGGGGCTCATCAAGTAGGCCTAATACCCGAGGTCCAATAAATAGCATTCTGTTCTTAAGCAACAGTAATTTTATAATTAGAGTTCGTCTGTGGACACGTCCAATTCACTATGCAGCTACGAGTCAAGACCGATGGAGTCATGGAGACCGGACTTACCTAATGAGCTGTAATCAAGGCAAAATCGATAACGGGCTACCAAGAGATTCAACAACCTTGTGAGTAACCCTATATCATGGATATCGTTTAATTAATGTGCATATTTAATCTTTAAGTTACATTAATTCCAGTGTTTCCTCCCCAGGAAAGACTACTGCTGAAAGGAACTCCTTTCCTACTGTATGTTTCTGCGTTTCCTACTTGTCCTGTGATAGGCAGAGGCTTCCGTACAAGCCAACCTTCCGGAGAAATCCTACAAAACAATATCAAGCGACGCCAGTAAAGAAATGAGGAGATCAACATGAATTTTCGAAAAAACACCTAAAACTTTCACAACACAACCCTATTTTGTGTAAGGTGGCATGCATTTCGATACCGTTGGTTCTCAAGCACTTGGTAAGTGTTTACATCATTTGTCGCAGAGTAACAAGCATTCAAACGTCAACAGGAAAGAGACAGCTAGGTGGACGTCCAAAATGAATTGCTTAGGGCTGGCACTACGTTTGGACTCACTAAGAAATCTGAACTATAAGTTCCAGAAGTCTGTTTATCACTCAGACGGACTCACCAAACCGTTCAAAACAACTTACATAAACATGCGGCAATGTTCATGCCTTGCGCAAAAATGCACATCGTCGGAGGAAACGCACCAATAGAACTGAAGTGAGAATGAAATCTGTGCCTCAATATGGGGAAAGTCGCATTGTTGAAATAAGCTCAATCGCAAGATTCAGCCTCGTGTTTCCTAACATTTAACACATACAGTGATACACCTTACAAAATGTACATCACTTTTGAAGCAACCTTGTGTGTCGGTTGAAAATAACTTTCGAAAAAATCAAACCTGTATCGTCCTAACGCAAACAAGTGGTGTTGCTCCCCACGCAAGGAGTCTGTTGTAGAGCTTCTTTTAGATAGCGAACGATGCAAATTTAGTGTAGACATTGGGTTGGTTCAGTATGGCGATCTGTTCTGATGGCTTGGAAATCTAGGAAGCTCTAGTAGAATCAAATTCGTATACATAGTTTGCTACATCTACCTAAAGTGCATTGTCACAAACTTTGTCGTCGTATGAATAGCGGCGGAATCGTGCTATTCAGCATAAGTTCACAAAGAGCTGAGCTGATTTAATTTACGGCTAAGTATACATTAAACGAAATTTTTCCGTTATGCGGTAGGTCGTTGAATTGATTCCAACACTCCGTAGTGTAATCCCCTTTATACTGCTCTTAGTTGGGCTAGATATTTTGAGGTTTATTCACCCTCCTTGAACGCTACACTAATTCTCTAGCTAAAGATATTGAGTATTAAATATACGAACTTTGTTCTAATGATACTGCTGCATACCTGATGTATAAACTCGTCGTTTCTTGTCATTTCCATGTAAATCTGTCTGAATACCGTAAAAAGTACATCTTAAATAGTCTGGGATTGCCAAAAGTCACATGATCTACTTCCATCGTGCTGAATCACAGATGTACCTACTGCAAGCAAAATTCGCTGACAACTTTCGTGAATAAATATAATTTTATTTGCGTTAGAGATGTTCGAAATCGTTCAAGTCAGTCGCTCCTATCTAAAGTAAGTCATTTGCTGACGAGAGTGCTGTTGTCCCTTTGAAGTTGATTCCTCAAGACGGGACGTTGTATATCTTACAAACAAAATATTACTTGGCTGACTACCCATGAAGCTAGCTACCTAAGACCTCGACCTAATAAGTTACAGAAGGTAAGCGAATAAGCGCATGAGGCCACAAGATTTGTTGTTTTACCACGCACGATGACAGATACAACCAAGCAGCAACTGCAGTTGCGAAAAACTGCCTTATAGAGATAATAACTCACAGACTTCAGGTAGCTTGACAGTGCATTTTGCAAGACGTAATCATGAATGATGAACCAAGCATCACAAAAAATTTTCTGAAGTGTCTCTGGAATTCGAACGTCCAGCTGCGTCCAATGAGGCAACAAGCCACTGCAATATTGGAGATCTGGTGCGCCGGTGTAAAGGCTTATGCGGAAAAGTTTTTATAGCGATGTAGTCCATCATACCTCGTACCCTTTGACCTCGTTCTTGTTTTGATTGGGATTTCAATCTGTAAATCAAGCCACCATGCGCTGAAAAGCGACGAACCTTTGCATAGCTGCTTCATCGTCAGCAGTGCACATCTCCAGAACACGAGGCCTCTGGGTTGGCAGCTGGAACACTTAATCTTTCGGTCACGAGTGGCTGATTAGTGCTGTACTTACCTCGCAGTTAAACGAAATAAAGTGCGCTCATCCTTCAGCGCTGAATAATGCTTATCCGCCTTTCAGCGAAAATCGGATTCATGTGCGGGACGAAATCTCCAATAATTTTCCCAAGTTTCTCCACGTTGCCGACAAACTGTGGATGATTCCGAAGAGGGACAATTTCACTTGACGAGTGAAACCTCCTAAAAGTTCGTCACCTGCAGAGCCAGTCAATACGTGACAACCTGATGTGGATCTTGTGACTGAAGGATAAGAAATGCTTTATCTCGTCTAAGTGCGAGTGAATCATACTGCTAGTCAGGCGCTCGTGGCCGGATGGCTGAGTGTTCAAACAACCAGCCGACAGGTCGTGGGTTCAAAGTCATACGATTTTCGTATGATACGCACTGCTGATGACTTTCAATAAAAATGAAACAGTTGTACAATGGTCCTCAACTTTTCAGCATATGTTGACTACATTTACAAGGCGGAATACCCATTATTGATCGTCTACTTCCTCAAAACCAGCATTTATAATTTCTTTTCAGTACAGATGGTTCTGGTAGAATTTTACAAAAGCTAGTCAAAACCAAGATTCTGGAATTTACCTGAAAAATTATCAACTCACCTGATCAGAGGTAATTCTGGCAGTACATTGCCGGTTGCTACGGCAACAAGGTAGCTGAAATTTAAAACATTAAAAAATGTGTTAGTCAGTCAGTTTAAAGTTTCAAATAATGAAACATTCTGTTTGTCAGGACAAAACTCGGTAGCCCATTCTTCGTGGATCTCTTAACTAATTTTATTCTCATTCAAAAGACTATGCAATGCCTTGGATGGTGGATATTCAGAAGGATCCAAGTTTAATCAAAGAACATCTGGTTGTGGGTTCACTTGATTCCTCCAAAACAAAAGTTTGATTCTGGATGTGCAAGTGCGACCTTCTTTTCTGGGAGACAATCTAATTGCACGTGTGTTTAATAATGTGGTGAATGCCAACATCACCCGGTTGACACTTTGTCATGGAGCTAGAGGACCATGTTGATTTTGGAGGTCACTTGGATAGTGTTCGTCAGACTGACGTACACTGTTTCACATGTTTACAGTCATCCCATATTTTATGATACCAGAATACTGACGACTGAGAAGAACTAAGTTACGTTCTGTGCCAGTCATGGTGTTTAGTTTTTGGTTAGTTCCTCGAATAGATGACGCTAAACGATGTCTTTTCTCATGCGCTCAGCTGGTATCAAAAAGTGGTAGTGAGGAGCCAAAAGTCCACTGAAGAATAAAGACTGAAAAGAGTCTATCATTGCTCACATAATACGACGTACGACCATGTTCTAGTGGACTGTAGTCGTAATCGAGCAATTATAATGGTTCCACCCGTTTTGGAGACAAATCTGGGCTAGCTGAGTACTGCCTCAGATGCCGCCGCAGGTTCACACATGTTCGGCTCTGTTGGGCTCCCTTGCTTGAACTTTCAAGCGCAAGTTCACGTGTAGGTCATAAAACAGCTGAATGAGAGGTTCACATTCAAAAGAGGTTTTAAAACCCCGAACAAACGCAAAGTTGGACAGTGATTGAAGATACCAGGTAAAGACCTTAGTGATGAGACATAGGATGGTTGTCTGACAGATTAAATAACTTTGAACAGAACGGTGAACTTGGTTGGTCGCATTAGCGTTGTGGGTACGACGAAACTACCGTACATCATCAACTGGCGTTTGGAGTTTTCGTTTTGGTTTTGTATACAAGTCAGAAGCACATTTTTCTATCTGGTGGACCACCGTGAAAGTTCAGTTTGTCTAAATTGAAGACTTCCTGGATAGGTTAACGCGAGTCCCATGTTATTTTCCCTGCGGTACGATCAATACTTGCACACCAGTGAATTTGGTAGATTCTCGATACTAATCATAGGCGCAGATAAATACTTCAGTGTTAAAAGCGCAACGGCTGGTTGCAAAGCTGTTGAATCCAGCTAAACTAACCTGGAAACCTACAGCCAAAGGACAGTAATGATCTTTGGTGTTTCAGAACACAATGATCTCACCTCCACGACATTAAAACCACCAGTATAGACATGCACCATTAAATTAAACGGGTAAGGAATATCTTCCTCTGAAACCTGTCATTCTCCATACTTGGTGATGTAAAAATCAACGGGCTTTTTGCAAACACATTGTTAGATTAGTTTATCCCCAAGTCGCATCCACTTTGGGAAGCTACTTAAACAATTTATATGATCCGTGGCCTCCGTCAAACAGCTTATCATTTTCACTGTGTTTTAGACTGACTCCAGAAAAAAATGCAACATTTCTATCAACCTAGCATGATCTAAAGTTGGAATGAATGAAAGACAAGGGCAAAGGAGTCCGGACACTTATTGTGTGGCAAAGATATGATCAGCCTCAAAAACGACTCCACACATTTAGACTTTCGAACTTCATCGGGGTCTATCGCACGCATGTGAACGGAATCGATATGCAACCACTTGGACAGCAACTGTAAGTATTCCCCGACCAGTCTTGAGCAGCCAATGATTTTCTCAGGTTTAGGTGCTTTAACTAGATGCCAAGTGGAATAGCTGTATACGACAATCTCTATACTTTTCTCTTCATACTTTTCTCTCGTATACTTTATACTTTTATACATTTCTCTCGTAAGACAAGCCACAAAACATTACTCTATCCTATTGGTAAAAGACACAGAACTCCCTTTCGTGCTGACAGAGTGAGATGCACCCTGAGTACACCGTGCAGCTTGTTCTGTCTTTTCCTCTTGCCTTGTTTAAAGGTGATAGCATGTGATATAATGCTATCACATCTAAGGTAAAACCAGCCAAATGATAAGTTATCGTCAGTGACACTTTCGTGGAATCCAATACTCGACTTCCAGTCAGCAACGTCAGTGTCGCCAAGCATGCGCATTGTGAGAAGTCACTCACAGAAGAGATGCGGGCACATTTCAAATTATACACTTGATTTCATAGAACACCAAGGCAGATGCAAGGACTTTAGCCTACAGGTAAACATATTCTGAAAGATTACGTTAATGACAGTGTTGTTGGGAGGAGCACCCGTGAGTTGCGCATCCCATAGTTGTGCTCGTGTGGAATTAAAGGTCTTCTTCTGACAGTGGTACGGCCGTATTACCAGAAAAAAAGCACTTTGAACCGAAAATCATTGTCTACATTCTAGAACGCTACTGAACACAACACCTGAAAATGATTCAGACAAGCATTTATGTAGATACAGAAAACTCACTTTCAGCAAAAAGAGGTGTAACGACATATCACAGAGAACGCGATGGTATCGTGGTAACAACTTGCTTACTTTATTTCCCCCCCTCATGTTAAACTATAAAATGTCCGTCAGTTGATGCTCAGGAAATATCCCTTCAAAAATACCTAAAAAACATAACCTGTCAGATATTTTGTTGCTCTATCAACAGGCTAACTGAGTGAGCCCTCTAGCGACGTTACTTTTCCAACGTTAAACCATGTGCTTGAGCTTCTATGCCTACTTTTATCGTATAGTGTAAATCGGGCAAAGTGAGAGCTGACGGTCAAAGTTGAGCATAATGCTGAAGAATATAGATGGCAGATAGACATGACTAGATTCTCTTCATCGATAAGTAAGAAAATACTATCCGGTGAAGCTGAGTTTGAGATGGCTCAGTGGTTGAAGTGCTAGTCTGCTTACCTGAATGTTCGCGGTTCGAACCAAACGTCTGCATCTCGACTGATCCGGTCAAGGCTATGATAGCGTACCAGTAGCTCAGACCTCGTGTTTTCTTCGTGTGGCATGAGAGTTACGCACCAAAACGGTGCTACAACCGAACGATTATTAATGAAACCGTAATGCATATGAGGAAGACTGACATGTCATTCACACAGAGTTTAGAATGCATGACCTATTCCATATATCTGTTTATTTCATCGGACCACCGTAGCCACACAGTAAGGTAATCAACCGGGCTCGAAAATTAGCACCGTCGTGGGATATAAAAAGATGATGGTTCTCGACGCAAATGAAGCAGCCGTAAGTTGACTTCCAGACTAGTTTTGCTTTGTTTGCATGAGAAATCCCACTTTGACACCTCAAAAACACTTTGATTAGTCTCCAATTCTACATCAAACGAGGCTTCCGTCGTTTTCACACAGAAGGCTTAATGGGATCTGTTTTCCTACTTAGAAACTGACACAGGTCTGTTGAGCAGTCAAATACGCCTCCGTCAACCACTTGCAGGTAGGTGGATCTGATTTCGGTATGACTTGTAGGCGTAGAATTTTATATATGCTGTTGATCAAGGCTGTTAAAATGTAAATGTTCGCTAGCTCATAAATTCATACTGTCGCGTTAAACTTGGGTGAAAACAGCCACATTCAATTGCCTGGAAACGCCACAAACGGGAGATTTAGCTGCGTTCCAGGTGAGTTTCTCAAAAAACCAAATTTGTCTGCAAATAAGTGTAGTTCGTTAATTTCGTGTAATTTGATTTCAAGTAGAACATACGGTTGGCGGAAACTCGGAAGACTGCGCCTACCTGATTAGCCCCAAGACGGTCGAAACCAGTCGTGATCTGTCGACGAATTTTCAGCAAATTTTTGAGTAGTATATTTCGACTAAACATGTATCGCCATATTTCAAACTTGGTAGCGAGTGAAACATGAGGTGGCCTGGTGCGGCACATTCAGTTGGCCGAAAACATCACAACTGAGAGATTCAACCGGGTTCCAGGTGACTACTTATTGTGCAATTATACACCACGCAGTAATAAGTCGATAATTTAAAACGTGTTTGGCCCCAGTATCTTTATTTTTAACAGCCAGAACCAATGTAAAGAAATCCTCACTCTCTTGCACACTTGACAAAGGGCTACACCTGGGCGAAGCGGCACTTCGGTTTTGGAATATGTGTGTCGTAAGAGAGTAAACTGGCGTCATTTTTCGTTTTATTTTCCATGAGGTAAATACGAATTTTCATGTCATATGTCTGTACTTATTTTATCTTCTAAAAAGGGTATTGTTTACCTTGTAGTTTAGTCCTCGTTGTTGCCAGAGTGTGACGAAGTGTTCGTCGAACGGTTGCGCAAAACAGTGTAAATTGAACTTTATTTTCAACTCTTTAGCAAGTGCGACGTAAAATTGGAAATTGTGCAAACTGGCTCGCGTTTGCACGGAAGCCATATCCGACAGACATTATTTGGTCACCTAATGGATCGAAAACACGTCATCCAGATGGCATCTAATGACTGTATCCATGTGAACATTTTGGTTTTCTTATGTAAAAGAATCATCATCGAAAATCAGAAAACACCCAAAGTCATCGCATTTTAGATGTTTATGATCATCTTTTCAAAAACAAACGATTATAATAGCAAATTAAAAATTGTGCAGAATTTCACGCAAACCAGACTTTTAAAGCACCTTATCACCTTTTTCTGAAATGCGCTTATTTTATCGTTGGTTAGAGAACGCGCAAATTCTGCGCTCACGAGAACTTGAAGAAAGTACATTTGGAATCCATTTTCTGACTACCACACAGTCATCTGCCGTATTCAGTTTAGTACCATCCATCCAGCACACAAATAAAACGTACCATATAATCATTGTGCTACAAAGCGTCAAAGCAAGAAGCAGTGGTATCCAAGCCAGACCGTAATGGAAGAATGTTGCCGTCATTGTTTTAGTAAATGCGAGGCAGCAACAAGCTGAAAGATGAGAAATTAAAAGAATCAACGTGGAAGACTTCAACTCAATGACTACCCCCGCCAGAACGTACCGCGAAAATCACGTGCACTTTATTGACAAACGCGGTTTTTGATAGGTTTACCAAAACAGATAGAGCGGTTCATCGTATATGGGTTGTCGTTTAGATTCGGGTTAATTGGATCACCAAGTGAGGACTGTTTGCCTTGCTTCGCGAATAAAAAACGCTAAATCTCTGATATGATATAAACCTTAGTGACTGGCGATGTGGATCCATATTGTGTAACAAGCTTACGTCTTCAGAGGTTAAAGGTATTCATCCACAAACCCTCACATGCTGGAACTGGTACGGCTAGCCTTCCACAGATATTTTCCCTAGAAGTACAGACTCCAGAAAGGGTGCTAATAGCACGCGTTGAAATTTGTAGCCTTCCCACTTCCAACATAAAGGATAGGTAGCTGGCTTGTATTGTTTTTAATAGGAGGTGACACCATCCTATTGTTTGTCGAAATTCACTTCAAACCATTGAAAACGTTTATCCATTCATATATCTAAGGCTGACATTGTGTGAAACAAAGCACAATTAATTTTATACACAATCACAATTTGGGACTCTTTCCGGCGATCTCCTGCTTGCTGTCCATTGGGACAGAAAGGTGTACGCAGAAAAGGGCATAGGTGAGTTGCAAACACAAAGGGGCTTCCGAGCGTGGTGGGTACCGTAGAATCAGAAGCACCGGTACGCCGTTTGTGAAACCGTAAGTCCTTTTAGTTTCTTTCCAGTTCTACTAGGGTCAAATTAGTCATATTCTTCATTATCACTTTTAAGAAAACTTGTTATTATCGATGGTTCAGCATCGCGGATCACCATTATTGTCAATACGAAGACATTTGTTGTTCCTTCTTCACAAGTCATCCGCAAATTCCGCTTCACCTTATAAAAATTAAGACGTGCAGTGATTCTTCCACAAGAGATATTTCTTGCGTGTACAGAGTGAACAACAACAAGCATCCTTCCTTACAGTAGGCCACACTTTTTTACGAAGAGCTCAGAAGTGGCTTCTGAACAAAGCAAGTAAAAAGAAGGCAAATCTTGAGTTTTTCCTTGTCAATGTTCAACCAAACGCTTCGGCCAACATTTTATTAGGCTAATAATGACCCGAGTTAAAAACTTCACGATCCCCTTCAGGGTGGGCGAAAAATTAATATTCTTGTCTCATTTACTGCTGACACACGTAATCTTTATTACAGTATCCAAAGCTGATCACTCCTTTGATGTGCCAAACAACAGTTGTTGGTCACAGTGTGACCAGTGTGGCACACGAATGGATGAGTTGTTTTCTTAAATTTGATAAACTGGTTACATGTTGTGTAAAGACGCTTTAAAAATCTCCTTGAACTTATTCGCATTGTTCGGTGGAGGCAATAACGGCGAATTAGAAAAAAGCTACATGCACATGTCCCATTTTTTCTAATGTCCAGCTTCATGAGGATTAAAAAAGGCCTTCATATCACTGTCGCCAACAAAAACCTTTGTGGGTTTTGTTGTTTACGTGCTGTACATATTTGTTGTTTGTATTCCTTAAAACGACTTGTCCTGTCCTACGATTCTACGTGAATATTTCCGAACGTGCAACCGATTTCCGACTACATCGTCAAAGTTTTCCACGTTGAACAACGATTAGATTTCGCGACCACTGCTTTGGGTGATGTTTGTCTCCATATTGTCCGCCTAAGACATAAACTGTTTACTTTTCTATACAATTTGCCCAACAACTTTGAATTAAAGACAGTAGCAGGATACTGAGAACACCCACATGTGTCCCAAAGAAACCGGGCGAGTGAAACGCCATAGTTTGAAGTAAACCAAAAATATAATGCCAAACTATTCCATTATTCGTCAAATGTCCCCAAAGAATTTATGTACGCCTGTGTCATGACATTTTTCAATCCTAAGCACAATGGGGCAATGCTTCATAACAACCAAGCAGATCCGAAGATTTTCGACAATCTACCTTGTTAACACACCTCTCGTATGAGGCAAGACCTACATCGAATACGTCAATTTGTGCTCAACTCCATTTTTTGAATAACCTGTGTTTTACTTTTTACCAAGTCCTTCACAAACTTGGGAATATCTTTATTGAAGCACCTTTTTTAGGCTTTCTGGACTACTCCACTTGCGATTCTCCTTACCCACCGGCGAGAGAAAGTTAATAAACAAAACGTTCATGAAGTACAAATTCTCTTTATCGAGTACGTCTGATTAGGCTTACTGGGATTGAAAATCTAAAACAAAATATCACCTGGAACTCGTGATGACCTACAGAGTGCGTGGGCGCTTTGTATAGAAAACAAGACACTTAGAGCTACCAATTACTCTATCCTGTGGTCGTGACAGTTTCCCCAGTGTCTCAAATCTAATCGGCGAGAAACCAGCTTGTTCAGTGTTTTCTAAACCAGCGATACTATTCTCTTAAATCATCACTTCTCAAGTGATGACTGATCGGTTTCTCAACGGATTTTTTAATGGTGCTGACAGGGTTTATATCCAGGTCAGCTGGATGTAACCCGCGCACTGAGTAAATTGGAAACCGATACACAACGCATGGAGCACCATGCTGCAAGGGACGTTTACATGCCAACCAAAAACCAAAACCTTTTCCTACGCTAAACTAAGTTATGACTGGATTCAGTCGTTACATCAAAAAAATAGTTCCACTGTAGAAACCTTCTATGAGTGCGTAGATAAACTCTTCCGAACGATGGTGATGCTAACGGAATCCAAACCAATTAGTCATAGTTCGTACCACCAATGACATCCAAAGTTCAGACGCTATTAGGTGCGATAACATGCACAGGATATCTCCGTCTTTGATTCACGGCACGTGCACAAATACCGTCGGAAAACTCCTCAGTAAAACCTTAGTTATTTGAATACATGGGCGCCGGTAGGTGGCTTCGATAAAACCAGAGCCGGAGAAAGAAAGATCAAAGCGTTGATCTGGTGAATGGGAGCTTATCCATTCCAGCCACTGTCGCCCCGAATTAACCAATGGGAATTATATGGCAATTAGTAGCAATCAGTATTCTTCACGTGAGTACTGCTGTAAACGAGGGTTATGAGGATCCTGAATAGTAAGCTGAAGCAATCTACGCAACATCGATTAAGCGTCAGCACTTGACGCTTTTGGCTACGAAATCGTCTGGCGAAATCTCAGGTTTTGCATCTGCTGTTCAGGGTGTTGGCGACGTTGACACGAGCTGGAATGAGGTGTGTGGCCCCATATTGACTCAATTTCACTGAGTATTACGTATCAGTCACACACGTTATAAATATCTGACTGGTCAACCTCCTTTTTCTTTTCTGAAGATGGTGCCCTTAATCCCCTTGTACTTCCGCGTCCTACCTAAAAGAAGACCTCCTTCAGTGTGATCACGCTGACTACTTTCTGGTGGGATAAAACTACCTTGCTTCTACTAGGCTTGAAAATGTGCAGGAGCAACAAAATAGATTGGTTAGACGATTTGTTGACACTCTAATAACTACCTTAAAATATTGGTTTGCAGTTTTTCTCTAGCTTTATGTAAACACTATAGAACATTTCGATATAAGGAAGGTTTTAACGTTTCTCCATCCACAAACTTTATCGTGAAAAACAAGGCAAAACTTAAGTCTGTATTCTAGACCGACCCTTTGTACGAACTTCAAAATTTTATTTCCTTCCTTTGATGTTTTAAGGCGGATTGTCTTTTCTAAGCCCATCCGTTCTCTGTCTCCTCGTGACCCTAAATAAAAGATTATTAGTAGATTAAAAATATCACTATAAGACCTAAAGACTACAATTACAATCAAATATATGTAATATCTTGTTTTGCGGCAGACATGGGTCAATTCATCGAGTAGCAAGAGGTGGAATGCTGACTTAGTTTTCATGCAGGACCTCCTTCCGAAAACCAGATTCTAGCCGGGTTAATTTTACAATCGTGGACGGCTTGAAGATGAACTGGCGCTTCTCTCTTATGTAGTAATATTTGAGAAACCCTATTTGTCCCAAATACTATCATCCAAATTCGTTTCGTTGTCATTACCGCAGCAATGCGTTATCCAGTCGGTTATAAACCTGCCGAAATTTGACCGGCTAAATCAAATCACTTAAAACTTGACAGAGTTGGGGTCTTTTAGGACGTACACACTTCGATAGCCATTTATAAAGCTTTCATTTTCTACAACCAATTTCCAACCAATAAAAGACCAGTAATATCTGCGGCCCAAGCTATGCGTCTTCACGATATAACGAGGAAATAATTTTAATGCACTGCACGATTCAGTACAGGCAGGCTTTACACCCCAAAATAACTCAGTTAGTACGAGGAGGCTTTTATTTTATATTTACGTAAAAGTTTACCTTCACCAACTTTATAATTCTTACGTTCGCTTTTTATCTATTCGGACACAAAGACGACCGACCGTGTCTGTGTCTGTTTTATCCACTTTTAAAACATCCATCATATTCTGTCTGTAATTGCGATGTTGCGAATTGAAGTTACCTGCGTAAACTCTTAAATATCCATGAAAGTTTGACAAGGTACAAATGATGTGAACAAAAAATGAAGTCCGTGAAAGAAACTCAATTTAGCGATTCTAGGCTACTTAGGATTCTGTTTACCATTTGCATCACATGTAACTGGGTCTACATCTCAATGTTTGAGCCCTCGTTCCCCCCCCCCAGAATAACTATAGAAATAACAACGTCCACTGCAACACCAGCTTACATTAAGTCAGACCAAAATAAACATTAAAGACTAATATATTAGCTTAAACGTTTTGGATGGGACACAATGCAATCTAATGGGAGTTAACCGGACGTCACAGAATATTTTAATGGCTAAAGAACTGTGTTGGAATGGTTGGTTTTGGTTTTCATCCATAAAGCAACGTAATTCTTGCGGAAAGGATTCTATTCTCACCCAAAGTAGACATCGTTCCTCTCATTATCA